CTTTTTTTTTATCTCTCTCCAATTCGTTTGCATTCAGCGCTATTTGCAACGAATAATCCATTTTATCCTTGTCTTCCTCATGATTCGCGTAAAGAGAAGAAAAAGTCATCCAACACATTTCAGACATCAGTGCAAGATCTAAAGTGATTGGCATGCTTCCCTTTCCTTAATCACGATGACCTGCAGAAAGACTAGAGAGGGAGAGAGGAGAGGGGAGAGAGGGGAGAAGGAGGGGAGGAAGGAAAGAGAGGGAGGGAAGGAGAGAGGAGAGAAGGAAGAGGAGAGAGGAGAGAGAGAGAGGGGGAAGGGGGAGAGGGAGGGAAGAGGAGAGAGGGAGGAGGAGAGAGAGAGGAAGGAAGAGAGAGAGAGGGAGAAGGGAGAGAGAGAGGAAAAGGGGAGAGAGAGGGGTGGAAAAAGAGAGAGAGGGGGAGAGGGGACACTGAGGAAGCATGGAGAGAGAGAGAAAGGGGAGAAGGGGAGAGAGGGGAGAGGGATACTGAGGAGGAAGGGAGGGAGAGAGAGAAGGGGGGGAGAGGGAATTGGGACATAGGGGGAAGTGGAGGTAGAAGGGAGAGGTAAGGGCTGTGAGGAGGAAAGAGAGAGAGAGGGGAGAAGAAAATGAGTTAGGGACAGCGAGGAAGAAAATAAGAGGAATATAGTGAGGAAAAGAGAGAAAGGGAAAATATCAGTGAGGAGGTAGTGGGCAGAGAGAAGAGGGAAGGAGAAAAGGGAAGGAGGGAGAATTACGATAAAGAAAAGGGGACATTTGGGGAAGAGGGAACAAAGGAGGAGAGGTGCCGGGGGGTGGGGGCAAGAGGGGGGATAGGAGTGTCAGGAGATGAAGGAATGAAACAGAAAGAGAGAAATAACAAGATGAGAAGGAGAGAGGTATGAGGACAGAGAAGAGTGAAAGAGAGAAGGAGACGTAGAGGTCTTGGTAAAAAGAAGGGAAATAAACAGAGAGAATACGAAAGAAAGAAGAGAAGGAAAGGGAACAAACAAAGAGAACAATAAAGGGGGCATGAAGGAAGGAAAGAGAAAGGGAGAAGAGGAAGAGGAGGAAAGAGGGAAGAGGGGAAAGGAGGGAAGGAGGAGGATACCTCGATTGCCAATGTTGCCAACCTAGGAATGCAATTGCAATTATACTGGAGGCAAGTCCTTAAGCTCAACTCCTCTGCTATTTGTCACGTGAACCGAGAGGTAACACGTAGAAAATAAAGAGAGAACAGAGAGTAGAAAAGAGAAGGAGGAAGAGAGGATGAGAGAGAGAAGAGAGAGAGAGAGAGAGGAGAGAGAGAGGAGGAGAGAGAGAGAGAGAGAGAGAGTAGAGAGAGAAGAGGAGAGAAGAGAGAATGAGAGAGAGAGAGAAGAGAGAGAGAGAGAGAGATAGAAGAGAAGAGAGAGAGAAGAGAGGAGAGAGAGGAGAGAGAGAAGAAGGGGAAGAAACTGAGAGAAAAAAACAAAAAAAAAACAAGAAAAATTAGAGAAAGATGGGTCAACAGAAGCACACGCGAATATAGAGACAAAGAAAAGAAAAGTTGAAAGAGACACAGAGAAAGATAAAATATTTTAGTCATTGTTGAAAATAGATAAGTGAATTATAGGTTTCTTTTACAATTACACTCGAATACATCAATCTTGTCTAATCTGACTGCTCGGCTTTATCGATTACCGGTCTGGATATATTTTACTCTGATAAATTTCAGGAAAAATGAACAAAATTGAAAAGAAATAATATTCTGTAGGACAATCAAACATTTTTTATTCTTTTATCATTATTATTATTATTAATTTTTTTTTTATCAGACAAATTTAACATGTGTCAGCTGATTAGAATAAAACCGACTGGATTTTATGATAGTAAAGAACAAGGACAATCAAACTTTTTTTTATGTTTTTATTATTATCATTATTATTATTATTTTTTTATCCAGACAAATTTAAACATGGTTCAGCTGATTAGAATAAAACCGACTGGATGTTTAATAGTAAGAACAAGGACAATCAAACTTTTTTTATAATGTTTTTATTATTATCATTATATTATTATTATATTTTTTTTTTATCCAGACAAATTTAAACATGTGTCAGCTGATTAGAATAAAACCGACTGGATGTATAATAGTAAGAACACATTGATTAATCTTTTCTTGACTCTGTTCTCTTTCATTAATCTAGTTCTTTCATCTGTTCTCACACCTGTTCATATACATATTCTTAAATCTATTTTTACATCTATTCTTACACTTGTTCATATATATTTCCATACACCTGTTCTTATGTATGTTCTTACACCTGTTCTCATATATGTTCCTACATGTTCTTACACTTGTTTTACATATGCTCGTACACCTGTTCTTGCATATATTCTTACACCTGTTCTTAAATATGTTCTTACACCTGTCTTTCTATCTGTTATTACACCTTTTATTTTTTTTACATCTGACCCGCCATCGCCCATCGTCATTTTACCTTTATGAAATGCCTGTTCTTATTTATA